CTTAGCTGGGTGGCTAAAGTTGCAAAAGGTACAGGGTCGTCGGAGTAACTTGTCTGCGTAGGCGAAGCATAGTTGACTTACACCCGGTTCAAACGTCGAATTTCACAAGTGCCGAACTTAACGCCAGAGTTAAATGCATGTGAAGGCGACGTTTGAATCAATGAAATTCGACTGTTCAAATTAAATGCGCCGTTTGCCGTATCCGAGACTGAAACAGTCGAAGATTCGACTGACTTACGTTCGACTTTTGATTCAAACGTCACATTTCACATGCGCCGAAGTTAATGCATGAATTTTAGTAAATTATTATTATATTACTGGGAATTGACAGCGGGCAGAGTTAAATTCGTCAGAGTTCAGAGAGTTAAATTCGACAGAGTTCAGAGATTTAAATTCGAAGTTTGAATCAAATGCCATGCCATATTGACTAAACACGAAATTCGACGTTTGAAACGAACGAAACTGGAGCTCTTCAAATACGTTTAATTATTCTAACACTGTCAATTAAGGCTGATAGGTAACTACCTCTACATGGTTCTGTGTCAGTGACTTGGCGAAATGTTCTTTTATCTCGATTTTTGCTCTTATTTTGAAACTACTGGTTTAAGTGGCTTCAATGTTCTTTTTCGGCTGAAGATGCTTTTGCTGTCAAAATTCATCGCCAAAAGGCCGCAAAAACAGTTATATAAAAACGGACCAAGTTTATGGGCTGCCGTTACCACCAAAAATACAATCATGTCAAACAGCACAGACAAAACGCAAATGGTCTAGTGATGAATTAGGAAATGGTTCAAATAATAAAGAAATGATCATTCTTAAAATAAAATAGGCTGGTTGTTTTGTGTGAAATGGTTCACCAAAACTACAAACGATTTGGTCAGACGACCAAAGCTGTCCACTGGTATATATATAGATGTTAAAACGAAACCACCAAACAAGAATCGGTTGGTTTAAATCATAATCATCTGCGAAATGATCGAGCTTGATAACGAACGGTCGGCTGCTCTATTGCGTAATGGTTTGAGTAAAGTAGGAATTCACGCAAACATTTACAAATGGTTTAAGTCATACGCATATGGTTCAGTGTAATGTTGAATGATTGAATCGAGAGACAAATGGAAATATTGTTTTTGTTTATGTTTTTAAAATCATTATTCCTTGTATTCTTTTATCTAATCACCAGTTTTGTTTTATTGCAGTAACTTCTGTAACATAAAGCTTTATCATGTCAGTGGAACAATCATTCTTGGATTTCCGTGTCACACCAGATGCCTCTGGAAAATGGATGAAACCAGCACAGGACAAAATCAGTGAAATTATCAAAGCTACCTTCCAAGCCAATAGTTGCTTTAGTACTTCTTCTGTTACACTGTTTACTGGTGTAAATGGCGTGTGAGTGATTATTTCTATACTTTAACATTTACCCTACCATTAAAATTGCATAGACGTTCCTTACTGTTATTGTTTTCTTTAATCATAGAGAGTGTACCCTTCGATTATTTCCAGATGGTCTGATAACATTAGACATTGTTCAGTACATTAAAGATGTCAGTGAAGAAAAATTACTCTGTCGACAGGTAAGTCTTAATTTTTGGTACATTTCTCGGCGATTTAACTGTCAAACAGTCTACGAGCTGGAATTCTTGCTTGTTACAATGTGTTCTTTTAAATACTTGTTTCTGTCCATAGCCACAATGGAAACTAACAGATCACCAGTTAAATCATAAATACCCCTATAAGGTCAACGTTTCTTCCTCTCCCCACCCCCCTTACAATGCCTTTTTAAAAAATTCCAATGCATGGAGCACAAAATAGCAGACGAGTGCAATAATAACACCCGAACCCCCAAAGTAATCTTGAATAAAGATCAATCACAGGCTACTCAGTAGAAGTTATAAAACACACAGTATTCTTATCAATGCCATTAAGAATACAATTTACATTAATTTATATTTCATTATTTCATTGCTCAAAGTTGAGTGAATTTATTTTCACAGGATTACACTGACCTTAGAGACAAGGTTGATGAAGCCTTGTCTTGTCTGAAAGCACATTTTATTCCTGCCATTTGTAGAGGACGGGACATTTTATGCTATCATGACACATCAGATGGCGAATTTAAGGAATATGATTTTGACAAGTTAGTATTGCTGGTTTTCACAGTCATGCCATCAAAAATCAAATAAAAACCATTCAGTAGGTAAAGCCAAGAATGTGGGATTTTAATGAAAGAAGATTAATAATTATGCAAACAACGTAAAGTAAAGCCAAGATCAAGGTCCCCGCAAATTTTCATCTGCAAGATACTCAGAGAAATCCTGAATGTTCTGCCCAAATTTTTAGATCTCTCAATTGTTTGCAGATCACAGTGCCATTTTTCAAATTTGTGCCTGTTTAAGGGCTATCGATACACCATCTGTAAACCAACAGAAGCATGTCATTTAGTTTTGCTACATGTGTGGAAGCATGAGTTTAAAGTGTAACTGCATGACTAATTAAGCCCCAAGATAAAAAAAAAATTCTCCACACTGATTGACCTCTATTCATTTGCTTGAAAAAAATAGTAAAGTTAAGTGAATACAGATGTATGTCAAAAGATCAAATTATTTCCTTCTTGGTGATCATTACAACTTTTATTAATTCTTCTAATCTTTCTACGTGATTATGTTGCATACATAGACTTAATGGTTAAGTACGGTAAAAAAATACTTTTTCTAATACAAGGACTGTTCACATACTAAGAAAACTGTATAAAAAGATGTATACATGACAGCTTTCTCGGCCACCATTTAAATGCTGCATCATGCAGAAGCTTAGGAATTTAAATGTACTCTTAGTTCACACAATGAAGAACCCATTATTTTGAAGTGAAAATTTGTAAAGATCGCATCATGCAACATATTTACTTTATTTGCTGAGCAATAAATGTTGCGTGCAGATGTCGAGGGAAAGGGGGCTTATGATAACTTCCTTCCCCAGAAAAGGGGAAGGGTTAAATTAGTGGGGGAATTTACGTGCTATAGAGGATTTATGGTACGTGTAGGTGCTTATTATAACCTTATTTTTCCCTCCCTTGTCTTGTATTTACAGGGAAGTGTTCAGACACAAATCACAATATCAGGATATCTGGATAGTGCATTCTAATCGTTTTGGAAACATGCTATTTCTGGATCGCAATGAGAGTAAGTGGATTTGAGCTTTGCAGTGAGTAGACATTCATCTTCTTTTAATTAACAAAATCTTGCACCATCAACAAAGTTTTCTCCTCTGAAGCAGTTGCTTAAAAGAAGGAAGAATGCTATTTATACCTTAATACAATGTGTATTGAGCATATGCAATTGTCTGGAATATTTCCTTTCTATGGTTGCGTTCCTTTAGGATGATCCAGATTAGGATCAGTTATCCAAGATCAGTTAGAACATGGTACATGTACATGTACATGTACATCAAATGAACCGTTGAATCCTTTCCCAGACTGTATTTATAAATTCCTTTGATGCACTCTAATCTATCATCTCAATAAGTGCACTTCACATGTGTACTTTTAATCAGCAGTATTATAAGGTACCTAACTTTGTTAATTCACATCTTACTCTTTAGCTGTAAATTGATGGAAGAAACAGGAACAGTATGAACCGAGAGAATTATTGTAGGCTATTAATACTTAAGCCCTTACTAATTTTATTCTGTAAGGTGCATTGGATTTTTCTGCAATGCACTGAGTGAGTGAAGAGGGCAAGCTGCAGGTTATTGTAAATAGTCTAATAAACGCAGGGGCATGTATTTAATTTTTTAAGCCCCAGTCAGGGCATTCAACACATGCAGATAGGAGGCGTTTAAAAAATAGAAGCATTTGTTCTAATAATTATAGAAAAAATCTCAAAAATAATTTGCCTTGAAAATATATTAAAACAAGCAAAATGAACTTCCACCTAACAATACACGATATATTCAGTCCAGCCATCCATTGATATGTTTAGGCCGTTTAGAGATCCATAACATTCTTTAAAGCTTGACCTCGATGTCAGAATCCTTACTATGAACTATTTCGCTTTATTTTCATAGTATTTTGTAGCAGTTGTTGTACGGAGGGCGTCTATTAGACAGGGGACATTTAGAAGAGAGGGTCGTCTGATAAAAATGTAAAGTTTAGAGGAGCGTTAGACAAGACGTGTTTATTTGAGAGAAGGCGTCTATTAGATTATTTACTGTACACTGTACAGTGATCACTATGGTGACAGAAATGTCTCTTTCTTGTATTGTTTTCCAATTTTGTACCTTTACCTGTCCTGTGCTTTATGTTACTGACCTTACTTGTCTTCACAGTGATAGCAGAAGAAGGAGATATTGTTTACACAAAAACACTGCTTGGAAATGGCAGAGAAAACTACAAAGACAAAGAAATACTCATTTTAGGAGGAGGAGATGGCGGGGTACTGCATGAGCTACTGAAGGAATCACCAAAATTTGTCACCATGGTCGAGATATCCTTGAAAAACTGTTGCAAGTTAAACCTGCATGCAAAGGGGTTGAGAAACAATCTGACACGAAAATTATCATTAAGTTTTGATATAAAAATGTATACACTCAAACACACCGATATTAATTAATGCAAAGGTCATATATTTGGTAAAAAAGCAAATCCAAACACTAAGGGCCGGTTATTTAAGAGGAGTTTAACGAGTGTTTAACAAAACTGCGTCCTAGAACTGCAAGTCACTTCACTGTCGCTTTCCCAGAAATCTAAATTGATGCAAAAAATTAATGCCTTAGAAGTTCAGACCACGTTAGAGACTTGTAGTCGAATTGAACACATTACTCACAATTTTCGAAATGGTCAGACTTTATACTGTGGGAAAGTTACTTTGTAATCTCATAAATAAATGTATCACGATCCTCGTATAGTTAAAGTCGCAGGTTATAGACCCAATGCAAAAATGGCCACTCTAATTCATATTCTTTTTGTTCATATTCAAATTAGCCTTACTAGCCTCGTCCCCAAGTACAAAAATTCAAAAGAATATATTATCTCAAGCGAGGCTAGTCAGGCTGATTTTAATTTAAACAAAGAATATTAATCCAGCAGCCATTTTGGCATTTGGTCCATGCAGTTGCGAAAAGAAAGCCTGAAAACTTTGGGCTTGCCGGGATTCAAACCCTGGCTGGTGCAGTGTTCTAACCAACTGAGCTAACAAGACAACTGCATAATATACCCGGGAAAGGAGTGAAGATGAAATAAGGAATATTAAATTAAAATATTCAGTATTTAAGTATCTCAGTCGATAAAGCCCCATTTTTTGCTAAGAAAATGTTTAATTCTTGCTGACAATTACCGATTAGCGTAATAACTCGTGTTCCTGATTTTCCTTGACGTGCCATTACATAGATAAAATTGTTGTCGAAGCTGCAGCGAAGTACTTGCGAGGTGCTTGCGGTGACACTTTAGATTCGCATACAGGACCTAACTATGAAGTAAGTATTAAGTAAACTTACTGAGTTTAAAGTGTCTCTGATCGAGTGTTGTAAACCTACAGTAAAAACCAACTGGTCAATTAACAGAAAAAAAAACCATTAAGGGAAAGTATAAAAAACAAAGGCAAATACAAAAGGGGCCGCGAAAGAACAAACTTGAAGAAGCTTAAAACGGATTGCAATTGTGGTTTTTTTGACATGTTGGCCTAAAAGTTTTTCGAAGTTAATTTTTGTTGTTTACAACGTTTGATATGATGCTTGTGATGCATATTTGTTTGGCGCGAAGCTGTGATTGGACGTGTATTTGATGACACAGACCCTTTAAGTTGTAGTAAAAAGAACCTGGCGATAAGGATTGCAGGCTTCTCTTGCACATCGCCTGCAATAGCTAGTAGTAATTATAGATCAATGTATGCGTTCGCTTTTTCTTCGATTTACCATGAAACATTATTATCGTGCTGAAATGGTCACCTTACAGTGTAATTATCTAGAGAGGATAATCAAATACAGTGTACCACAGGACTGCCAAGAAAAGGAATTGCGTTCTCCTAACGTCGAACGCAACTAGGGGAAGTGCCTCGCGTTTGTGTAACGTAGAGCACTCAAGAACTCTCTCAAAAAACCTCGTTCGATTTTGAACTCACAGCGCAATCTTATACTACTTATGGTACAGGTCAGGATTGATGATTGTATAAAGGCACTTAAGGAGTACGTGGAACTGGCAAAGACATTTGATTATGTGATCAATGATCTTACAGACATACCAATAAATGTCTCTTTACAAGGTGAGTGCAACAGTTAAGCTAGACAAGAACGACGCTCACATTTGAACCAAACGCTTTTAAACAGGCCACAGTTGGTTTTCGGTGAGTGGAGAAGCCATAGGGAATGGGGCCTGCGAAGAAGCTCTAGATTACTCAAATTAATCTTGAGTAGCGTCAGAATGTTGCTCAAGACCTTTCTACGTGCAACTTTGTTCTAAATCTCTACTTTTAGCGCCTTTCTGTATATCTCTAGAAAGGCTCGAAAGAATTCTTTTTAGACCTTGTTACATAATCTTCAATGTCTGTACCTTTCATTAGGATTGATACATACCTCCATGACTAGTACATTTCAGTTTGAATTTTATTGCATCTTTTGAATGTAAAACATTGAAAATATTCACACTGAAATAAACAAATCATGGAGGAATGTATGGTGAGCATTAATTTGGAAAAATTAGCATAACGTCAAAACACGGATTCATTTTCACGCTGAAGGCGCGCATCTCCATCGTGAAAGCCAGTCGCTTAAAAAAATAATTCATCAACAGTTCCGTTGTCATTATTGTTGTCGTCGTTGTTGCTGTTTTTGTACGTTTGACAAAAAGTTCAGAGCATGAACCAATCGCTCATGTGCAGGGGCGTAGCTAAGATTTTTTAAAGAGGGTGGGGGGAAGGGGTACAGAGGTAACATTGTGACACACCCAAGGTACTCAAGGTATTGTCTTGTCGACTTCCACGTAGTGTTTTTTAAAAAGTGACATTTTTTCGTATGGAAATTTCAAAGCTCAAGTCATGTCAAATATACTCTTGATATTTACCTACAAGTAATAATTATCTTTGGAGCATGTCACGAAATTTCGGGTCAGCAAAAACAACAAAAATAATAATCTAGACTACAGTCGAAGCTCTCTATGCGACCACTCTCATAAGCGACCAACTCTAGTTACGACCACCTATGTGAAACCCCGTTTGAACTGTGACTTTTAAATAAATGAAAAGCTGTAGTAAGTGACCGCTCCGTAAGCGACCGCGACCACTTTTGGTATTACCCAACCAGACTTTCCTTTTGTTTTTAACCTCTCGTAAGCAACCACTCAGATTCTTATTCATATAAATCAACGTTTTAATGACACTGCACAGTATGCTAATGGTTCTAATATTTAGATTTGGGTTTATTTTGGTCTTAAACAATGGACGCAAAGTTTAGCCTTGTCTATATCAGATATAAAGACACTCATTAAACATTTTAAAATTTCTTTTGTTTTTTTCGTTATTGAGATTTTGAGTTTGTGAAGCTCTCGTAAGCGACCAACCTCTGTTTTAACTTGCCGTCGCTTACGAGAGCTCATTCTCGTAAGCGATTAGCTCTAATTACGAACACTTTTTAGAATTTCTGAGGTGGTCGCTTACGAGAGCTTCGACTGCATTATCAACAGACATCGAATAACATAAAGAACGTAATAAGACAGATAGATAGAGGTTTAAAAGTGACACAGCAGTCTTGACTTTTCCTTTTCGCTTTCTCTCCTCTTCTTTCATTAAGTAGGCTTCATTTCGGAGAGAAAAGTTTAGCAGTAGATGAAAGGAAATCTAGGTGGGTAGTGAAACAAGATTTTCGTGAAATATACGTACCTTACAATTTCTTTTAGATTCCAACTGGGATTGTGTTAGGAAAATATCAAACCTGGCAGTTCAAGTCTTAAAACCAGGAGGAAAATTTTACTCCCAGGTAAGATGGAAAACGAGATAACAATAGTTTGCTCAACGTCGCTCACCCTGCTAACAGAGTCTTTCTTTCGCTTGCTCGATTTTCCCGTACTCGAGAAAGAATCTGGTAAGATGGAATACCAGATAACAATAGTTTGCTCAATGTCGCTCACCCTGCCATCAGCAGAGCCTTTATTTCGCTTGTTCGATTTTGCCGTACTCGAGAAAGAATCTGCATGAATCGAGTGAGATCTTTCTTGAGCATGCGCGGCATGTTGCTAGGATACAGTTTCGAACCCAGGCCTAGCCGCTTTGCGCTTGGTATGACCATCAGTTATGACCATCAATAAACGGATGCTCTCACTCGAAAAACCAGTTTCTCGAGAGAAAACGAGATTGACCTAGTCCAGAGGTTCGGGCTGCAGCCAGTTAACAAAATTGGACGCGGTTAAGGCAGAGCCTCCTTTTCTCTCCTCCTCGATTAAGAAGAAGACGAAAGTAGCCTCTTTTCGCAGGGTGAATGCCGCACTGTTGAGCTAAATCGTGCCTAGTGGACAGTCCGTTCACTCTTAATAGTGGCCAGATAAAAAATGCGCAAAAACATTCTTGTTGTAAACTACAATATCCACTGGACAGTGGCTTATCCTTTGCAGTGGATAGCGCTATGTATTCTTTAAATAAAAGAACGAGCAGGGGTGTATTACAACAGGACTAATCGGCTCCTGATTACAACTAGAGCCAGGTGCATACCATAATTGTGGGGTTAACTTTGTAATTGAATGCCATCCCATTTTTAACAGGTATCATCCAATACTCTATTTTATTTTCGAAATTTGCAGTTTTTAGATGATTAGATAGAGCCCACCGAGAACTTGCTTTTTAAAAAAATCTCAGCAAAAAAAATTATTTTTACAGAATCTTATGAAGCGAAAAATTTTTTATATGCTAATAATTTTAATTAAGAAAAATCTATTTCCCCTGTTTTCTCGCAATGTGTACTTCCAGAAAATACCCATGCCCCACCCTCCCCCCCCCCACCCCCACAGAGGGTTGTTTTGCTTTTTCAAAACTGAAAACTACCGAGGCATCACGTTGCTCTCTGCATTAGGTAAACTCTTCACATCCATCCTAAATGATCAATTGTATGATTACATGACCAAAAAAGGAATTAATTCTAAAAGCAGAACAAGGCGGCTTTGAAAAAAAGGCACAGTACAGTAGATAGCATCTTCATCTTAAAAACACTCATAGATAAGTTTGTTAAATCTAAACCACAAAAACGCAGAAACTTGCTTTTCTCGTGTTTTGTAGATTTTAGAAATCTTTTGATCGCATGCCAAGGCAAAAATTATTCGAAAAAACCAGAAAAGAAGGAATTAAAGGGCGTTTTTTAGAAATAGTAATGTCCATGTACTCAAAAGATAAATCAGCAGTCAAAATCAACAACAAAATGACCGAAGCTTTTCCGTGTTACACTGGAGTTAAGCAAGGTTGTATGTTATAACCCACCCTTTTTAATCTCTATCTAAGTGATCTACCTGAATTTTTAAATTCATCAAGCTCAACCGATGTTGTGCTTGATGACTCTGAAAGACCTATAAACTGTTTATTATATGCGGATGACTTAGTGATTTTTTTGCGGTCAGCAAATGGCCTACAAACACTCCTCATCAATCAGGAATCCTACTGTGAGAAACGTGAACTAACTGTAAATCTAGACAAAACAAAAGTCATGATCTTTAATGATTGTGGCAAGTCCTTAAATAACTACTCGTTTAAGTATGGAGTAAATAAACTAAACAATGTTAAATCTTATAAATATCTGGGAATGACACTGAACCCGTATGGAAATTTTAGTTTAGCTAGAGAAGAGTTAAAAAAAGTTGGGCTTAAGGCACTTTATAAACTAAGAAAAAAAGAGATGGGTGACAACTTTAGAGAAAATATTATGCTGACGATTAAGCTATTCGATGCTCTGATACCCCCATACTTCTCTACGGAAGTGAAATTTGGGGTGTTGACTGTAACGACCAAATAGAAAAAGATCCCGCAGAACT